ATTGACATGTCAAAAATTATAACAGATAGGTACTAAGGTACTGTAATGAGACAGGGTTGATTATTATACCACTCACCTTCACTCAGAGTGAGATCTCCTAAGGGCTGATTCTACAATGAAGGTATATACCAAGAATAAGCTATACCTAGAATAAATGTCGACGGTTGCGTTGGTTACAATTGTGTCAACCAATGAGATACATGTTGCTATGGCAGTTATTCCAAGGATGTCTTATTCTGCGTAAAAGTGTAATTGTAAAACCGGCCCTAAATGATCGTGTTAAGACCCTAGATTTTACATTGTGTCTTGTAGTATTTTAAGTTACAATTTTAGAGGTCGTCATCTGTCGCATCTTTTATTTGAAGTATCACAGAGACAAATTAAAAACATCACGGCATCTTTAAAGCTTTATTCTTTAAATCACAATGCCTGATAGACAATACAACCAGATGTCACAGGTTCTAAGCTATTGTGACATTAGCACACCGTGGTGCCTGAAACCGTGTTAGGTTTCTTCGAACGTAGACAATGGTGGCATGCCCTAAACTAACGGCACCACCTTTCCACTTTACCGCGAGAAGCCTCCTGCAACGACATCACTGACCCTTCATCTTTTGGGTCAGAATTTATTGGCTTTGTATGCCATTTAAGTTTCACGGTCACCAAAGCTGGATACCTAGGAGTTGGTGAGTGTGAAGCCGTATGCCAACTTCTTTTTCCTTGCCTGAGGCCCTTAATTTTCGATCTACTTACAAGCGAGCGCATAAATTGCAGTACTCCACTACCAATTGGCCACGAAATCACGGACTGGTATTAGGACCGAAAAGTCCTGCGGTCTCTCAAGCGCAGTCAACATTCCAAAATCAACTTAAACCAGTAGAACTTCCTTTGAAGGACTTCAATGCATATTCATGAAGTGGTAAAATTAAAATATAAGTCGGTTATAAGAGAAGCAATCAAAAGGATCCCTTCGGCTAGTTAAATTTAATCTAATTTCCTAGTAGCTTGCGTAATTGGTAACCTTAACTCCAATTACAAAAAATTGATGATCGAACGCATTCACAAGGGCTCAATTTTAATTAATCATAAGTAAGCACAATGTGTAATTTTGACAACATTAAATTTAATTCGTTGTTTGGACCACGCCACCCAACGACGGCATGTTGCACCCATTTCGAGGAAATTAGACTTGTGACTTATATACAAAAGCGATATTAAATTACGTAGGCCATTCGATTATTCAATATAAATGAAAAGATTCTTCTTTGCAATATTCCTATAATGGATTCAAACTCCATATAATTAACAATTGTCTGAGGGCCAATTGCACCTTAAAAATTAAGTATCCCTTAAAGTTAAGCATCACTTAAATACCATAGCAACGATTGTCTTAATAATCGTTGCCATAGATTTTAAGTTCGACTTAACTTTAAACAAGGCGTAATTTTGTTGGTGCAACTGGGGCTGATTACATTTCACTCCTACAATTCATTGATTGTGTACATTTTTAGTAAAGCTCTGCACATGGAAGTACCACATTGCTTTTTTTTTACCAAGTAAGTTCCTGAATTAAGTTGCAAATTTCTACATTTTTCCTCTGTCAATGTATGCCCGAACGCTTTCTTTACAAGTTCTTATATCCATTCATTAAAAACAACATATAACAATTAGCCATGCTAGAAACGTAAATTTTTCGCCTTTATTACTTTAGTCGCATACGGACTAACTCTGTTTTGTTTTAAACTGGTTTATACAGAAAAGGGCACGTTACGCGCGATACAAGGACCACTTATAACAGGCGAACCGTACTTTCTTACGTCCGCTCTGTAGCGGGTTGTGTACAGAAAGGCCTTATGTTCGCCTTAGAATTTTTATTACAGACTTTTGTAATTATTTCTTCTGTTTAATAACAAATTTGTGTAATCTAATGCTTATAACTATGTTTTATTATTGGTTTCTTTTTAGAAGTAAAAGCTACTGGACAATCAAATCTCTCAAAGGAGATTTCTGTCAAATACACACTTTATATAAAACTATAAGGCTGGATGTAAAATTCAACACAATGAATGGTATTGTTTCCGAATGTGCTCTACACGACTGCATATTGGGTAATAAATGAGTTTTTAAGTTTCCCAAATATATTAATTTATTTTGTTAACAGATACCTCCGATCCAATTGCATTACTGGTGCATAAACACTTTAAGCACCGTCTCATTGAAAAGAACATCAAATCAGGAGTCGGTGAGAAGTACGACATATTGACGTTGTTAGATTATGTGCATATAAACATGGAAAAGATGTTAGATATTTTTAACGAATTTTGTTCATTTTCCAAGAAGTACAACTTTAAACTGGATAAACAGTTTATGTAAGTAATAGATTGTTATATGCTTAAATATGGTAAGTGACAATAGTATCGATCTTCATTTATAGTTCGTACACTGAGCAATGTAACATGTCATTAAGTCGTAAATTAAATGTCATTTGTAACGCAACCGATAGTTGTATTGAATATACACCTGAAATGCAATGTGAAACTCCGTTTCATACGGGCAAGATTCGCTCAAAACAAACTATGGGAACTTGAAAACAATAGAGCAATAGTTTTCTACTACTTAGAGTCAGCGGTTCTCAATAGTTTTATTAATTATATTGTTCGTGTAAAGTTTATTGTTCAATGAAGCAGCTCAGGTTGAAGTTCTTGGCCAATTTGCCATAAATCCCTCAATGTCAACATTTAGTTTTTTTTTGTTAATTGTTACATTTTTGTTAAATTGTCAAGATGAATATTGACTCTATTGGTACCACTGGAAAGGATTTTTCAGTAGCTTTCCAACGATGTGTCACAAGTATGGGGTTGACATTTAGGATTTTTGAAGAGGGGGGGGGGGGTCACTCATAACTTCATTCTGGTTCCCCTCGATACCCCCGTAACGGTTTTGTGTGATTTTCAATATCTTTAGTTGGGGAAATATGGCCGACTGCAAGTTTTAAAATTAACACCCTGTATATTAATTGGTAACGTTACATGTTTACAATGTCTTTCATGCCATGTTCACTTATTCATTATGGAATACGTAATTACATTAGAAATTGTGATGAAACATGTTGAAAATATAAGAATTGAGACAATAAATGAATAAGCGAACATGCGGGGTGTTTCTTTTGTTTGTTTTAAAATGAATTTGTTTCGTTTTAGGGGAACGTTTAACATAGTCAACCTTATTTTAAATAGTAGTTGGAGATTTTATGTCGATATGTCCGAATTAGACAACATATCCAAAGACTCAATTAGGATAGAAGGAGATGGTGCAACAAATGAAGTGCATATAAGGGAAATGAAGAAATTAATGAATAGAGTATCTTGTGGTTTACCCTTTTTAAAGAAGTTTTTAAGTGATGCTTTAGCTTATACTAGTTTGTGTGGTGCGCAAGCACATGGATAATTTATTAATAAACGTTTGCAATATATTTAGACATTTAGTTAAAACGTTATTGCAATATTTGTTTCATATTTAATTTTTTGAAATATGTCTAGTGAATGTTCATTTCCTTAATAAGTTTACATTATATCAGTAAAATTAAGGTATGCTATATAAAATGAAGCAGTGTCACTTCATTCTTTTTATGAAAACAGCTACAGATTGGCGGAGTTTAATGAATGCAGTAAAGTAAGGATCTAATAGATAACATTTCGCTTGCAATTCACGATGTAAAGGTGCAAAAATTCTAAGAGTGAAAATTCGGAAAATGAGTCGAAATAAATTGCATTGCAAGAATAAACTTTGAAATTAATTGTTTGTAATGATGTGAATGCATAACGTAAATAAATAAATGTAAAGCGATGGGGTATACAAAAGGGATTTTTTTTAAATATTGATTTATGAAAAAAATGTATTCTTCATGATATTTTTTGCTTGCTTTGAAAGTACCAATAACGTTTCGATAATCTAAAATTTATGTATAGAAATCTGGTAAAATAATAAAATTAATTTTTTTTTATTGAAAGTTATCATTCTACATTATAATTAAGATAGAGTATTGCTATCAAACCACAAACAGTCGAAACGTTATTGGTACTTTTAAAGCAAGCAAAACATATTATGAAGAATAATTTTTTTTTATAAATCAATATTTAAAAAAATTCCCTCTTTTATACCCCATCGCTTTACACACTGTACATAGCATGTAGGAAAAGGTGACATATAGGTTAAAAACAAGTTTTTGGAACAATTGGTCAGGTAAGCATCAGGTAAGATTCTGAGAAAGGGTGAAATACACAGGATGTGACTAATCTTTGGTGCAATAAAATTCTTCTGTTGAGAGAGCAAGATTAAATTACATAGTGTTGTACGGCAAATTCAATGTTACGACAAAATTTGTAGAAATCTGTGAATCGCAATTCATATGTCACAAACACACAGATTTTAAACTGAAGAGTTTTTAATAGCAAAATCTTTCCCCCGAGATAGGCAGCAAATTATGGTCCCTATAGTTGAGTTGACAAGTCGAGAGCAGTTTTTTACCACCCCTGTGACTGTCTCTTCATGGCAAAGATGTTATAGTTTACAAACAAGTCAGTACACATACACACATCAAACAATGCAATAATTTCCACATGTTTGAAAGAACGATCAAAAATGATCTAACTTTGGGCCCAAGACCATGTAATCGAAACAAAAATGTAGCAAATATTACACCAAAAATGAACGCGATTTCAAACAAAAATGGATTGCAACGCACGATGAGTGAGGAGCGTTGTGCTAAGTGTTCCGATTTGATTATCGATTTAAAAGTGTTAATTCAGTGTACAAATTGTTCAGCATGTTATCATGCTGCATGTGTGTGTATCACGGATTTAAGAGGGTTTCATGCAAAACGTTCCACATGGAGATGTTCTAAGTGTATTCCTACTGAAATTCCTGAAGGCGATGGCTATCAGAGAAAACGGTTGCGCAGTGACAATGGTGATTCCGTAATTGTTGATCGATATGTCTTAATGGAATTAGTAGAAGCTGTCAAAAAACAGAACGTATTGGTCGTCGATTTGAAAAACGAATTAGTTGAAATTCGTAAGGAAAACAAGACTCTTATCAACAAGGTCGCCGCGTTAGAAGATATAGTGTCAAATAATAACAAACAACAAATGTCATTTGCCAATATTACTAAAGGCATTAATCGCAATACGCCAGTCAAATCTTCAACACGTGCTACTACTGCTACTAAACATTCAACAGCTATCCCGTCAACATCGCAGGAGCAGGTCCATAATGCCGTTACGAATGCCATAGATAATTTAGATAAGCCGAAGACTGATGACTTTCAAGTAGTAACGTCCCGCCGGAGGAGATTTCAAAAGCCTCTTTTTTATTGGGGAAATGGACTCCGGGAATGTTAATGGCGGTTCCGATTCCAATACCTTCGAAGGATCAGAGAGACGTCAATGGGTGTATGTAGGCAGAGTTAGAAGTGGTACTTCCTCGGATACCATTACTGATTTTGTTAAATCGAAATGGAATCTTACCGATGTTGTCTCTTCTCTACTAGTTGATAATAAAGACACCTGCTCTTTTAAAGTTGGTGTAAGGGAATCGCACTTGAAAAGTTTGCTGGATGCGAGCAAGTGGCCCAAGGTGAATTTGTTTTCATTGCTAGAAGAGGTATCAATTCTACTGCCGTAAATTTTTCAAGGGCGGTGGGGCCGGTGTCAGAAGGATAACTAATGACTCTGCATTTATGGATATTTATTATCAAAATGTTAGAGGCCTAAAGACTAAGGTGAAATCGGTTTATTGTAATTCATTATCCATCGATTTCGACGTTATTGCTTTAACGGAAACGTGGTTAACTCCTGAAATTGCTTCCGGTGAACTATTCGATGCAAATATATTTACTGTATACCGCAAAGATAGGTCGCCCGTAACGAGTGTCAAAGTTCGTGGTGGTGGTGTGCTTATCGCAATCAAATCAACATTCAAATCGCTTCCTCTGAATGTACATCAAGTTTCCATCGTAGAAGAAATTTGGGCAATAATCGATTTAAGTCCTCAGGGGACCATTCTTGTTTGCTGCACCTATATCCCGCCCAACTCTGATGTTGCTGTCTATGAATCCCACATAACGTCTGTGGAATCAGCTCTTGATAAATTCCCGGAAGCCAGAGTTATACTGTTAGGAGATTATAACCTGACTAATACCACTTGGGATAGCGACGAGGAAGATGGACACCTTACTGCTTTTTGTAATCGCAACCGCATTTCAGAGCTTATATGTGACGCATTCAACCTGTTCGGCTTCCATCAATTCAACTCAATCAACAACCGGGTGAATGACAATATCCTTGATCTAGTCTTTTCTAACTGTGATACTTCCGTTTCTAACTGTGATATTAATTTAGTTAACTGTGATTCCTACCACCCAGCACTTAGTGTAGCGCTTCACACCCACCAAGGTTTCTTCAAGTGTGATGACTCGAATCAACAACCAGTCTACAAATTCAATTTCTCGAAGGCTCCTTATGATCAAATCAATGACTACATTCGTTCCGTGGACTGGCATTCACTATTTTTCAATGGAGATTTGGAATCAAATGTTGAAAACTTTTACACAGTCATCTACGACATTTTAAATGTATGTGTTCCAAAAATTAAATGTTTTAAATCAACGTACCCGCCATGGTTTAGTAGTAAACTACATAAGCTGATTAGGGATAAGAAGCTTGCCCACAAAACATATAAAGCATCTAAGAGCAACATCGATTATCAAGTTTTTACCGAGTTGCGAACTCAGTGTAAATCCTTGACCACACAGTGCTATGACACCTTTATTAAAACCTGTGAAGAAAATGTTACTTTAAATCCGAAGTCGTTCTGGAAATTTTATCATAATATGAACAAAACTTCTATTATCCCTCCTTTGATGATAAAAGATGATGAGTCCACATCTGACCGTCGTGAAATTGCCAATCATTTTGCCAAACACTTTTCTACAGCTTTTGTGGAGGGCCGCATTCACGAAAATTCGTTCTCCACGACCAGTGAAATCGCGCTCGCTCAGTTCAAAATAACGGCTGAGGAGGTTTTTGGCGGTCTATCAGCTATTGATGAATTTGGAAGCACAGGACCGGATGAAATTCCACCAAAATTTCTCAAGAACTGTGCTCAATCAATATTCCGACCATTGTTCCTTTTATTTTCATCTTCGTTGGAGAAAAGTGTTTTTCCGAGTGCCTGGAAGAATTTGAAAATTACACCGATTTTCAAGAATGGAATCAAGCCCGATTACAATAACTACAGACCAATATCCATCCAGTCGGCTATACCGAAACTTTTCGAATCCATAGTTGTCCGGCAGTTCACCCAGGCCTTCTCGCAAGTGTTATCGGTTAATCAACATGGTTTTACAAAAGGAAGATCCGTGGAAACAAACCTGTTTCTATACTTGAACCGGATTTTTGGTTCTCTTGATCAAGGTATTGAAGTGCACTCGATCTACACAGATTTTTCCAAAGCATTTGACCGGGTTAACCACAAATTGCTGATATTCAAGCTAAAAAAGTACGGTCTAGGTAACCAAGCAGTGAAATGGTTGGAAAGCTACTTAGCTGGTCGTAAAGCACGAGTCCAAATCGATGACACTTTGTCGGATCCCATTGACATCAAATCTGGAGTTCCGCAAGGGACACATTTCGGCCCGCCTTTGTTCCTGGCATACGTCAACGACATATCTTCGATATTCTCCTCAAATCATGCCCTTTTTGCTGACGATCTTAAGCTCGACTACAGACCTATCGAGAACACCCTGGATGTGCTGATCCTTCAACAAGATTTGGTACAACTTGAAATATGGGTATTAGATAATGATTTGCAACTGAACTTAACCAAATGTTGTTCAATTTGTTTTTCGAAGAAATCATCGCCTTCTGTTCCGCTCTACCATCTTTGTGGTCAAGAACTTCAACATATGGGCATCATCAAGGACCTGGGGGTAGTACTTGACACAAAATTGAATTTCCAGCATCACTACGATCATGTTATTTCGAAGGCTAGCAAAATGGTTGGGCTCATTCGTCGCCAATGTAAGGATTTCTTCAACATAACCGCACTGAGGACTTTATACTTCTCCCTGGTTAGGTCGCATCTGGACTATTGCTGCACGATCTGGTCACCATACTACTTAACTCACGTCAATCGGTTGGAAAAGATACAGAACAATTTTCTTCGCCTTATAAAGTACAAATTCCTTCTTCATGGAATCATTTTGGATCGCACTGAAAATGTCCGACTTTACTTGGGAATACTGACTCTTAAACAGAGGAGAAATTTACTTACCGCATGTTTTGGTTTCAAACTACTAAATGGTCACCTAAACTGTCCGGATATTTTATCCACTATTAATTTAAACGTACCGATTTGTTCGTTCGGCTCGACTTCTACATGCACGACAATGCCGAACGCTATACTTCCAAAACAGCCCTTTAAACCGCATGGTTGACCTGATCAACAGCTTACATCTGAAAATCGATTTCTTCGGACTGCCACTAGCCGCCTTCAAACGTACTGGGAATTCACTGTTGATCCAATAAACAAGTTTTTCGCTATCTCTCCTACACGTCGATCTTGTCCTTCGTTTTATTGATTTATGTTGTGTATTTTATTGTGTATCACTATAATTTTAATTTGTATGCAAAATGCCTTGTAGCGTTAATAAATTATTATTATAAAAGGTTAACGGTATCAAACCCATGAATCTGCATTAAGGTTAAATCCAACTTCAAAATCAAAGATTGACTTCAAACACAAAAAATATAAAATGCTGGATACATAACACAAATATAAAGAAATGCAAAGGTTAGTACAGCTGCATTAAACAACACAAAAAAAAACAAGCAGTTACAGAGCGATGCTGTGTGGCTTTAAAAATCCTACCAAAGGTGTGGTCTGTATAGATTGGTAGGCCGGATCTTCTTTGTTAAATGTGTTGTAACGCCGTTCGGTAGGAGTGAGGGTGCATGATGTGAAGGTGATCGGGCTTTTTTCTTGTTTTGCATTTATGTGTGATTCAATCCACAGCCAAACTAAGGGACTATTCTTTGGGTCGTAGAAAGCGAGTATGTCTGTCATGAAACGTTGGAATATCGAGATTCCAAAGGAAGTCGATGTACGCGAGTAGAACACCAACACCCCACCCCACCACTTTTTGTGACGTAACGACATTGGGATTTCCCCAGTTACGTCACAAGGCCATGGTTCTGAGGTTTCCCAAGGTTGTGGCCTTGAACTTTCGCTCGGTGTCATGGCTTTAGATGCTGGACCAAAATTCTGACCTTGGGATTTCCATGGTCATGTTACAACGTCGTGGCCGTCCAAGACAAGAACCTTGATCCAGAATTCAAATACATGACCTTCAGCCAACGTTGAAGGCCACGACCGTGAAAAACCCCAAGATAATATCCTTGTGACGTAATTGGGAAAACTCTGGGGGAATAACAAAGTCATGCCCTGGGTCGTGACGTCACCCCACCGAGTAAGGTGTCCCTGTTCTACTTACGCGGTACAAACCAAGGATAGTGTTGTTAGTGATAAGGTCCGCCGCTCCGTTATCGACTGGGCACCTGCGTAAAGGTTCGATCAAGGTCAATCTTGGAAAATACGGTTGAACCCGACATTTTGGCTTCTGCAGTGCGAAGTGGATAACGGTCTGGATGTATTGGGCGATCAAAAATCAGTGACTGTCAAGTCGCCTTTACAATTTTGGAAAGTTAAGTACGATTTCCCATGTGAACACGGACCTCGTTTTTTAAGAGGTTCGTGCATGTACAAAAATTCCAAAGTTGATTCGACGTCACTCATTTTTTATCACTATGTATACAGGGTGGTGACTTGCGTAACGCATCATAGGGATTTCAATGTCAAATTCATAACATGCGATTATTGGCTCCCCAAATTATTTTAGAGCAAAAATGTATTAAAGTTTTTTGTAGTTGTAGTTGTTGGTAGAGCAGCCTTAATTACATATATATGTATATATATGCTTAATTAAAATTAAACCCCGCCCACTCAAAAACAAAAGAAATAAATATGGGGTTCACATTAAGTAAACATTATACAAAAAATTTAATAAAACACCTTAGTTTGGTACAATTAATAAAAGACTACATATATAAAACAATTTATTTAACCATTTAATTTAATGTTAACCGCTTTATATCAGGTATGGATATCGTTTTAAGTTTGTTCAACAAAACTTCATTAACATTTGAAATATCATGCTAAAATAAAAATTATAAGTCATTAATACGTACAGCAGAGACCTACTTGTAAAATAATAATCCCCTTCATAGTCAAAACAATTAATTCCTTAACACCATCCCCAGTAATGTCGTGATATTTTACGCCAAATATTGGAGAAGCAAAAGTACGAATGTTGGACACAAACCATTCTTCACCGTCCCATTCATATGCAATTAGCTCCTAAAAACTCATTTCATTTATCTAAAATTACTCTGCTTGTGGTTTACGTGATTGCTGGTTCCGATAAAAATTTGATTACTTCCGTCAAAATTTACGTTGGCGATTTCGGTACTGGTTAAAACGCTAGTCAGATCGAGCCTCGGTAATGCATCATACCTGCGTAAACCATGCCGCAGGATATCTCTAAAAACACCTTTATAGATCACATTATTTTATAAAAAATTCGGCATACCGAAAACAGACGGGTGGTAGAAGGGTGTTTGTAACTATTAAGTTAATAACGGGATCCGTATTTTCTTTTGGTTCCATTGCATAAACGTCTTTAATAAAAGTTGGTTGTTTAAAGTTTCGCTCGTTGGGGTAAATGTAGACGCTTGAAATAGTGTTGTTGAAGTCTGTGGAGAAGTTGTACAGTATTGTAGAGATTTTGACGTTCACACAACAAAGTCGCATGTAACCACATTCACATCCAAAGGCTGTCAGTCTCCTACAAATTGTAAATTATAACATTCATCTAAGAATATAGTACTGTTTTCTAGGGCTCGCGAGCTGTAGTTTTTTGGTAAACATTTTATGAATTGAAATGTCTATAGTAAAACTAATTCGTTCCTAACGACTGGTTGAGAAATGTGGGTTGACTATTATAAATTGCAAAACACGACAAATTATCACGCATTCGTTCACTGTATATTGACGGTAGTGACTGCTAATAAAAGTGGAACTAGGGTTTGAAAATCTATGTTAAACAATCACTGGAGTTATATAACATTGAACAAAAATAGTTAAATAAATTTACTTTGAATATTCGCTATAGTAATATATGTCCATCCACATTACAACAGTGGGAGGTTTCAAAAACTCTGGAAAATATTCGCCAATCTCCATCTCCTTGTAAGTGTGATTTAATTTGTTCTCCTGATACATATGTATTTTACAATCACTTCCGGAAAGTAGGAACACGATCTATATAAATGCCGCTGAAATACAAACATATCTTAAGCCGTACTACTTACTTCTTTGTTGAGCAAATTGTCACCTAGCCATACAGTTAAAAAGGTATGCGTTAGTTGATAGGGAATGTATTTTAATTCGATATTATTTAGGCAATTTTGAGAAATAACCTCCATGTTGAAATCTTTGGTTTCCTCCCATCCTGAGTAAATATTCAGAAATGTTTCCAATGCGTGTAAATCTGTGCTATTCTAAAAGAATGAATTATAATACATTTAAAAAAACACAAGTAAACTCAGCAAATCGTGAAAACAGACTTCGTGCATTGAAAATCTCTCAATGGTGTCTTTTAGAGCTCAAAGACTGGAAATAAGAAAATTTTTTATTTTTTTATTCGAATAACACTAAACAAGTACAAACTGTGCACACCTCCTCTGCAGTTAAAGTGTTTTCTACCTCCTACCACCCTTCTTTCTGACCCCTTATCAAAAGAGGGTGTTGGAGGGGGGGGGGGCAGTGGAACTGCTTTTATCCTTCATGGTATTCTAATGAAAGGTCTCAACGAAAGGAATTAAATGGTTAAAATTTAAAAATTAATATTTCTATAAATAAGAAAGTTGACAATGCGCAATTTCTGCGTTAATTGTCAAAATTTGTCTTGGCTCATGTGCCAGGGCTATAAACTACCGGCTACAAAAAAAACGACCTAAATATATTGAGAACTGTAGGAGTAGTTAAGGCATTGGATACTGGTGGACGACGGACAGAGAAAGGCGCACTCTACTACGTTGGAGAACCCGCTAAAAAAAATGGGCTCTTCTAGAACAGCGGAGAATTCTTCTTATGCAGTAACTTCCTTATTACTTTTTTTGTATCTCAGTTTTCACAATTTATAATAAACAAAAAGTGGTACATTTACAAATTATTTATTTAATACTACTATCTTCTACTAGATAGCATTATGCGGGTCACGTAATTGGGCGCATGCCTGTTGAGGGCCCAAAAACAAGAGACGGATAATAATAAATAAATAATAGATACTACCCGTTTCAGATGGAAATTTTTACAGTTGAGTTGCCATAATTTAATGTCTGCTCCCCACATTTTTTGTCTAGGCCTGTCACTGGACCCAGAAATATGGATAAGTAAAAACCATCAGTTTTCGTAACCGCGAAATGACCTGTTGCTTGCAATGAAAGCTGACAGATTGCAGGTTCACCTGCCCCACCCCACCCTTCGCCGGTAGATTCCTCCGTTCTCCATATCCGTTTTTGTTATTGCACCTACTTTTTTGTGTTTATTAATTCAGTTTGTATATTTTGTGTTGTAGTAATTATTACTATGTAAACCATTACCATTATGGTAAGCAAAAATTCATATACCTAGACCACTTGTTGACCATCGAGCAATCGAGTTTGGTTTTTTTCTCAACCAAATGGGTGAATAAATAACGATTTTCATATGTTTCAAGTAAAAATATTTTGGTACCCAAAAATACACATACATATATCATTTCTTGGCATCGAGCAATCGAGTTTGGTCGTTTTCCCAAAAAAATTGATGAAGAATTAATGATATATTGGCATCTTTTGAGTAAAAATATTTTAGGCACCAAAAATGCATATGAATCACTTCTTGTGCATCAAGGAATAGGAGTTAGATATTGTTCAAACAGAACGGATGTATAAATAACGATTTTGGGCAACAACGTGATGGATTCCAGAATGGCAAAGTTAATTTTTTATAGTTGTACTTGAGAACGCAGAAGATTTCATATAGCGAAGAGCCAAAATTGATACGTGATCTAGGGAGTGCGCTATAGCGCAGAACAACGGACAGACGGACGGAAAAGTGAGGACCTAACTTCGTGGGTTGCGCTTAAAAGAGGTGAAATTGATCGTCTCTGTTTTAACCAGTCTACACCACAGCATTCGTACTGTACCACTGTACGTTTACTTACGTGACCTGGGCCGTCAAATGTGAATATACCTCTGAAATAGCTATAGCGCGTTCGCACCTCCAGATGCAGTATGGGGTCTTATGGACTAATTGCCTCTCTTACTAGTTACGTCATTCTTCGATAATACTATCCTTGTTTCTAACCGCATTGATCTCAAATTGACATATGATTAAATTGAAGTATTAAAACAAAACATAATCTCTTTGTGCTGTCATTGTCACGTTTGGCAAGCATGTACTGTATGTCCATAAGCACTATACTGCATCTGGAGGTGCGAACGCGCTATAGTTACAATATTTTGCTGCGGCTTGAGCCGAGTGTGAGCGGGGCGTGACCTGAACTATAGTGTGAAGTGACCGTTATCGAGAAACACAATAAAAATAAATTCAGTAGGCCCTGGCTTTATTTGGATAATATCTTGTTTTTATTACTTATAGTCCAGTCAAATTAGCTTTAAAAGTAGTATAAACTGGATGTTGTAATTTCACTCAACGAAACCAAGCGCATCCTATGTAAAAAAATCCGCTGAATCGGAAAATCATAGTCCCCCTGGCCGGAAACGCCCAGAACGTATTATTATTAACAAAAAACGAAAATGTCGTATTTTTTCGTATTTGACTTTGAATATCTCGTTAACTATTGCTCTGAGGGAAAGAATGAATAGAAATGAACTCGTTTAGAATAAAATTTTCTATAAGATAAAGTTGGTCTTGGTCCAGAACGCTCATTTTCAACTGTTATTGTTTTTTATGGTAAAATGTAAAAAATTAAGCTCGAAAATTAACAGTTTGTTATTACCAAGTAAAATTCATCCGATCTTGTTGAGAATCCGTATTTAGTAACTTCTTTTGATAACAAAACAATGTGACAAACCCGATCACCGTAGGTTTCATAGTAATTGATTAATTAAATAAACAAGTAAAGAAAGGGGTGCTTTGTCTTTCAAACTGGGGGTTGTAGTCCCGATCTCAATTTTTTTTATACATAGTTTAACCCTGAAACAATCTTTTCCAATAATTGTCCCGATGATTCTTGCAAATCGACAGACTGTAGAATTTTTTTCTGGAATTCAAAGAATTTTCTTAGTTAACAAATGGAATAACTCCCGCAATAAAACAAAAAATTAACGCTATAATAGGCGAATGGAAAGCTCTCGGAAAGAGGTATGCATTAAAAAAAATGCGTCCAAATCCGATTAATAGTTCCGAGAAATCAGCTTTTGACTTTGAAGCCAGTTTTCGAAACAACCAAAAATGATTTTGCAAATCGGGTCGCACCGATCGATTCTTTAAAGCGTGAACTTTTATGCTTCTATTTCACCAAAATAAGTGATTTTTATTAATTCGAGTGCCAAGGGCCGATATTAGAGTTAATTTTCTTGTTATATCTTGGAAGCTATTCCATTTGTTAGTTAACTAAAAAAATTCCACAGTCCGTTGATTTGTAAAAATTATCGGGATAATAATTGGAAAAGATTGTTTTAGGGTAACATTATGTATAAAAAAATTGGGAACGCTCTTGTAGTCCCCCAGTTTGAAAGACACGGCATCCCTTTTTTTAGTTGTTTATTTAATTAATCAATTACTATGAAACCTACGATGATCGGGTTTGTCATATTGTTTTGTTATCAAAAGAAGTTACTAAATACGGATTTTCAAAAAGATTGGATGAATTTTACTTAGTAATAACTAATAACAAATTGTTAATTTTAAAGAGATTAATTTTTTACATTTTGCCATAAAAAACAATAACAGTTAAACATGAGCGTTCCGGACCAGCTGTATCTTATAGAAAATGTTATTCTAAACAAGTTCATTTCTATTCATTCTTTCCTTCGAGCAATAGTTAATGAGATATTCGAAGTCAAATGCGAAAAAACACGACACATTCTCATTTTTTCTTCGTTTTTTGTTAATAACAATATGTTCCGTCCGTTTCCGGCCAGGGGGACTATGATTTTCGGATTCAGCGGATTTTTTTACATAGGATACGCTTGGTTTCGTTGAGTGAAATGACAACATCCAGCCCAAACTGTAATTTGACTGGACTATTAGTTCTGACTGTTGGCATTCAAAATTGTATCCTGTTTCATATGTTTATAGTTTAAATTGTACTGTAAAAATTTAACACCCTGTAGATCAGTATCAAAGCGTTTGTCCAGCTATGTTTATATAAACTTTTAGTCATAAAATAAGCCAAAGAATTAGGCGGTTATACTTATACTGCAAAATTACAAACGATTTCCATATGAAAAGTGCTATATCAGTAGACAATTGTCGCTTGTTGCTATTTATCTGTGTGTAGATGATAAAATATTGGTACAAAGTTGGGCACTATCGGGAGCCAAGTAATTGAGGGTGAATGTTCCCACATGCTTATATAGATATAGCACCTGTCAAATGTGGTCCTGATAGCATTATATACACCCCACAGCTCGCAAGTATCGTACTTACTTTAATAATTGTAATTCCTATTACAAAGTCATTGGCGGTTTCGGATTTATTAAATGCATCCATAGAAATAATTTCGGCCCCTTCTACAAGAAACATTATCTAATCAAGTGCAATAAACTTACTACTAATATACCTACTTGGTAGATACGTAAATGAAACTTCTTTGGTACTCGGTATTAATATGCCGGTAGGACCTTGCAAATATTCAAAGTAGATGATTTCTCTTCGTAAAGACGCCACCAATAATTTGTTTGTATTATTTGCTAAACGAAGTATCGTAACTGTGTAGATATTCCCTTGGGAAGATAATGAGAAGTAATGGGCATTATGCATCTTCTCCATTTCAGTTTTAAAACTCGCGCTTTTTTCAATAAATTTAATTAGACTTTTGTGTTAATTATTGCGTATATGTCAATTGAATAATAAACAACAATTAGTATGACACATTAGAAATAAATTAACAAAATACGTGTACTGAATATTTTTTGAGGTTAGGTCATACAAAATAAGGAAGAAGGCATATGCTGTGTTGAGACACTTCTGTTGGTATTTAATTAGTGTAATAAAAGGTGGGTTTAAGAGTAAAAGTACTCTTACTTATTTCAGTATAACATTTCAGATGTATGATATTGAAGGTGAGGCAGATGATCATTCCCGAGCCATCATTCACATCGACATTGATTGTTTTTATGCTCAAGTTGAAATGATTAAAGATCCTCGACTATGTCAAGTACCACTGGGTGTTAAACAAAAAAATATTCTCGTCACGAGTAACTATATCGCACGAAAGCACGGCATAAAGAAATGCATGCTAATTTCGGATGCGTTGACGATATGCCCTAATCTGGAAATTGTAAACGGAGAAGACTTGTATGACTACCGAAAGACATCCTATCAAGTGACATCTTATTTGCAAAAGTATTCTGCCTTAGTCGAGAGGCTTGGTTTGGATGAAAACTATGTTGACATCACGCAATTGGTCAATGAACGTTTGAAACACCAAGGCGAAAACGTACATGCTAAAGGGAATCTGTTTAACAACGATAACGCAACTTGTTTGTGTGGTTGTACAGAACGAATTAAAATGGCATCCTTAATAGCGCAAGAAATACGTGACGGTATTCTACTTGAACTTAAATTAACAACGTGTGCCGGAATTTCGTACAATAAACTATTAGCCAAACTTGCATGCTCTTTACACAAACCAAATCAACAAACAACCGTATTACCAAACCACGCAGTTCCATTAATTCTAAGTTTAAATAACGTTAGTGAAATACCGGGTGTCGGAAGTGCTACAAATGAAGTTTTGGAAAAGATTAACATTAGAACCGTTGAGGACTTACAAAAGTGCTACTTTGAAACATTAGTCCAAGCTTTAAATGCGGACAAAGCCAAATGGTTAATAGATTTAAGTTACGGTAGAGATAATTCTGTAGTGAAAACTTCGGGAAGACCGCAGAGTATAGGTTTAGAAGACAGCTGTAAAGTGCTAAACGTTGAAACTGAAGTCAGAGACAAGTTTCATCAGTTACTGATGCGACTAATCATTCTAGTAAGTGAAGACGGTCGCGTTCCTACTACAATCAAAGTTACCATTAGAAAATTCGACGGTGCTTCCAGAGTTAGTCATAGAGAAACGAAACAGTGTAACATCAGTCCCGGTCTCTTCAGTACCGATAAAGTCACACATATGGTTTCACTGAACGAGCCCTCTGAGAAAAAGCTATTGTCAATCATTATGAGTTTATTTAAAAAACTAGTTAACACCTCCCATTCCTACCACATTACTCTCCTAGGTTTGTCGTTTACCAAATTTAAAGAGCGCATCGGAGGGAAAAACTCCATCGCTTCCTATTTTGTTAACGACCTAGCCGTGCAATCGGTTACAAGTATTGAAAGAAAAAATTCGATCTCGCAGCCTCGCACTTCGTTGCAGACAGCTACTTCCACTGGTGGAGTTGAAATCGAAATTGAACCTCAGCCCAAAAAATCTCGACTGGGATCATTAAGTACGAGGAACGCACGATTGAGCGAGTCAGATTACTCATCACCTTCCAAACTGAGAGTTGCGGAATTGCGACTGAACTCGAGAGATAGTGACAATTCAGACAGTGTTTCGTCAAATCAAGACATTGAATGTCCTCCAAATGCGGACCAAGATGTTTTCAAAGAGTTGCCTAGTGATGTTCAACGTGAATTGTGGGAAGACTGGAAGAGGAGTCGCAGCCATGACGAGTCTAGTGATAAACCTTTTAAGAAAGCTAGAACTAACACTTTACTTAATTATTTCCTTAAAAACTAAGTCATTACTTATATATTGTTTTTAAAATTTTATTTTTTATAAGCACTATTTTTAAATTATACAATGTATAAAACCACTGCATGAAATTGTTTTCCGAGGTTTATTGGAAATCTGTAGCCGTGCATTTTTACAACAATAAATTATTTTCATCCTAAAATGAGAAATTCTATTTATTTCATCCATCTCTGAATCCAAGGTTTATCCTTCACGGCTGCGTGGAATAGACATAAATTGCCTACCTTTGCCCAGGAATTCTGCACCTCCAAGCGCCACTTGACAACCACCAGGTTGTCAGTGTTATGTAACTATAGCACTGATTCTTGAACTCATAGAAATCGGCTAGCGAAAGTTTGACATCGCCTGTCTCTTTTCGTTCTCGAGTTACACGCGAAACGGACAGACAAACAAAACCATCACATAAAGGGAATTTTGTTTCTCTCGAAAAATTCCCCTAAAAATTGACGAATCACCTCCTCTTGAACTGACAAATATAAGATTTCGAGACACCGGAAGACTACCGGAAAAATGCGTATTTGAATTTAGACGCAACGGACTGTTACGTACGCTAAGTCAAATGAACTGACGTCGCCCAGTTAGATCCGTGCTCAGCCCACGCTCAGCCTTCTTAAGTGCAAACCATCTTCATCAGAATTTTTCATCTTCGGTAAGGGCGGACGAAATGCGAGCACTTATCTACAAACTTTGCACATGTGCCATTGTTCATCTAAATCAATTAAATGTTACTTTGATAAAGTCCCCTTATAAGACATCTACAAAATAATTCTCAAATAGATGCAATACTTAATTCAGTTAACCGCATGTTTCTTTACGTTTATATCTTTACAAAAATTAAAACCACTGAATTATTTAACAAAATGTAGGTATAGTAAATGTAAAACTACCAGTAGAATTAAATAAAATTCATCAATTATGTGCCTATTTGTAACAAAATTACACCAGAATTCCTGATCAAATTGGTTCCCCGGGACACAGATGGCAACCTTGCGGAGCCTAGGAAGGCAGTCTTCCTCTTTGATTATATAATTAAAGGTCTACCTGCATAGAGTAACATTATTTACTCTATGGTGTGCAGCCTCCCACCTCCTTCAACCACCCACGCAATGGAATGGTTGTTCTCACTACCACTATATATTCTTATTAGGATCTCGCCAGAGTACCTCCACCATCGGAACGTGGGTGGTAGTGTAGCGCCTTTTAGTGCGCACAGATCCTGGTTAAGAACCTTGGCCAGGATGATTTTGTACCATATCCGCCTGGTTAACCATTAGCCTACCCAGAGCGTTATTGATATCTATAATCGCCACTCTGAGTTGCCTTTTGGCAGCTTGCTTGGAGCTACTACATGGTGCTCCAGCCTTACTGACACCCGCCTTTGGTTAAGGCTTTTCTACATCAGCGCGGTTGTGTCAGTGTTGAGTCATCCTACCTCTGCCTCTTTTTCTCACTACCTACCCATTTGCTCGCCAGACCGCAGTTATAGCTCTAGGAGCCTGCCTCTGGATCGAGGTTGAGTCAGGGAAGGGGGATGGGGTTGCACCCATTTGGGCCGTCCATTTATAAACTATCTATAAATTCAATGCTTATAATATTGCATATACGAGGGTTGTCCAGAAAATAGCAGACGTTTTGAAATAAAAAATTGTAAACTTGTAAAGAAACTCTCTTATTATATACATTTTGGAGCTACACTCTTGGGCTATTTATCAAAACAGGCGCAATTCAAATTGAGGCACTTATCATAGCGTGGCACAAGTGTTTTGACTCCAACTTTGTATAAATCCGCCGCCTGAGATTTTAACCTGCACTGGGTAACGGTAACATGAAGTTCAGCGTCCCTATCGAACCGCTGCGTTGCGAGCCAGGTCTTCATCGCTGGGCCAAGGTGGAAGTTTTGTTTTTCGACGACAATGCCCGCCCGTACTCAGTCAACCATACTGGACAGTTCTGTGGATGATTTTGGATCACCCTCCATACAACTCGGATCTAGCGCCAAGCGACTTCCACCTCTTCCCAGTGATGAAGACCTCGCTCGCAACACAGCACATGGGCAGTGATGCCGAATTTCAAACCGGCGTTAACAAGTGGTTAAAGTCGCAGGCGGCGGATGTATACAAAGCTGAAATCAAAACACGTGTACCACTTTATGATAAGTGCCTCAATATGAATGGCGACTATGTTGAAAAATAGCCTAAGAGTGTAGCTTCCAAATGTATATAATAAAAGTTGTTTCTCACACTTTCTTAATTTTTTATATCAAAACGTCTGTTACTTTCAGGATAGCCCTCGTATTAGGTATATACTCCTTGTACATTTTAGATTTAAATTGCAAATATTAACCAACCATATCACATCCACAATGTACATTTATAGAATATCCATACTGGACATAAAATACATATTGTCCATAATGAATCTACAGGGTGAGTCAACGATTGCGCGGAGTAACTTAATGCCTTGAAGATAAGATTTTTCGATAGAGTGCTTTTGTAGTATGGTATGGTTGAATGTTCTCCACATTTTAAAAATATTGGAATTATACAGGGTGCGGGTGGGGCGCCAAAATGGTACATTTTTTAAAATAGAATATATATATTTTTTTTTAATTCTACGTGCAATTGTACGTCTTTTTTATTATATGGTTAATATCCGAAACGCTAGTAGTTTTAAAGATAATTCAATTTGTAAGAAAAATTGGGCACTTGCAAGCGTCAGTATATTGTCAAAATTATTACTTAATTTTTGATTCCAGGTTTTATATCTTTTATCCTTACTTAACATAAAAGTCAAATAAATACATCTACTATGAAATATTTAAAAAATAGCTTACAGTGTGTTTTTTTGGTAGGTCCAAAGTTGCAAAACTTCATATTAAAAAATCTCACTTTTTTTTACATGGAACCCCCTGTATATTTTTCTGTCATCTTTTAGCTCTTCCAAAAACCTTCAAATTTTTGATAATAATGCCCTATACCTATCTCTGATATTTTTCAAAACATCTTGGTTTTTCTGGTTTTTATATTCTAATCTTAAATAAGTTATATGTAATTTACATAGTAACGAGGTGACCATCCAAAAAAAGGCAATTTTTATCTATCTCGTCCAAAACCAAAATCATATCGATTAATTTATTTTTCAAACAATTTATTCTAAGTCCAAAAACTGGAGAATAAGTAAAAACATTTGACTACACAGCAAATTTAATTTAACTCCTAATGTCATCCAGTCAGTGATATTAGTTTCATTTTTTTTCATATTCACCTCGTTATTATGTAAATTAGAACGTATTTCAGATTAAAATATAAAAACTAGGAAAACCAAGGTATTTGTTTATGTTTTTACTATCAAATTTATTCTCTAGTTTTTAGATTTAAATGAATTATTCGAAAAATGAATTAATAAATATGATTTTAGCTTTGGACGAGGCAAATAAAAATTTCCTTTTTTTTGCATGGCCACCCCGTTATTATGTAAATTACATATAACTTATTTAAGATTAGTATATTAAAACCATAAAAACCAAGATATTTTGAAAAATATCAGAGATAGGTGTAGGACATTATTATCAAAAGTTGAAGGTTTTTGGAGGAGCTAAAAGATGACAGAAAAATATACAGGGTGTTCCATTAAAAAAGTGTGAGATTTTTTAATGTTTCATAGTAGATGTATTTATTTGACTTTTGCTTAACCCAGGATAAAAGATATAAAACCTGAAATCAAGATTTAAGTAATAATTTTGACAATATACTGACGCTTACAAACGCCCAATTTTTCTTAAAAATCGAATTATCTTTAAAACTACTAGCTTTTCGGATATGAACCATATAATAAAAAAGACGTACAATTACACGTAGAATTCAAAAAAGCATTCAAATACAAGGGCTTCTATTTTAAAAAATGTACCATTTTGGCGCCCTACTTTGTGGGCGCACCCTGTATAATTCCAAATATTTTTAAAATATGGAGAATATTCAACCATATCATAATACAAAAGCACTCTATCGAAAAATCTTATCTTCAAGGCATTAAAGTTACTCCGCGCAATCGTTGACTCACCCTGTACAAGGTGGCCCAAATTGGACACTTTTTTACGGAAACGCCCTTTATTTTAAGCGATAGAAAAAATGGGCCTAGGTGTCTGGAAATCAATTTTAAAGAGGAAATTACTGGCGCACATACAATTCAGCTAATTGTTTGGCAGCTAGGGAGTTGCCTCATACCTTTCCTATTATTAAAGATAATTGATTTTGACAAAATCTTAATTCTTGAAACACTTTAAGTAGAATCCATCGCGATACACAGTTTTTGGAAACCTAGATGTCTGTAATAAACATATTTTAACGTATAAAATGCAATATTGCAAATAATATTTAATACAAATATAACAAAGTGCTACCTCAAAATGTAGGAAATTTTACGCTCTTTTCAAAAACAAAATCAATATAGGGTGGTTCGTATGAAAAAATGTACTTTAGGGTCGTATCAAGATATCCAAGCACCCTGTATAAAAACTATGTAATGTGATCAACATGTTATTTTCACATGATAAATCAGAAAACTCAGTGGTTGGGGAAGCGACTGTTGGAAAGGATTCCAGTTGTTCAATGATCTTTAGATGAAGTTTTGTGCAAATTCACTGAATTTTGAAGGGTAAATATGATTTCGCAAAAGGAAAAAACGAATTTTAAAATTTGAATTAGGAGAACAAATTCCATTTTCACAGTTTCTGCTCAAATAATTAGCATACTTTATTCCAAATGACTGCGGAATTGCATAATTTAGTAAGGCTCGATGGTGAATGTGAATGGAATGAAAAACATGAAAAGGGGTTCAAAAACTTACACCTTGTCATTGTTTCTGAACGGGTGATTTACCAGTTTATCATCCTAAGGTGCCTGTTCTAATAATTCAAACAGATGCTTCCTAAGATCGATTAGGTTGTGTCTTAGCTAAAAACAAACATCACATACAAATTTTGCTTCACATACACTGAATTGCCAAACTTCAATAGTAACTTTGGTCACCTCACAAGAAGGAAACCAATTCACACTTCGACACACAACTTTCTATTTCAAGATTAATAGATTTGCATTGAACTGAAGCTTTTATACCTACCAAATGTCATTTTCTCTTCATGATTGT